AAATATTAAATGATATTGATTGAGGTTAGTCTACCAGTCATTTGCCTCTCAAGCTTTTCCATTTTTGGTGCCCTCCCTTACCAAAATTAAGTACACTTTTAGTATACTATTCTTGTAATCAAAGTGTACTGCAAAAAAATATACACAAAGTATACTTTCAGCAGATTTGAAGTATAGTTTACAGAGCTACTGAAAGTATACTTGTAGTATACTTGTTCCCACCTGAAATTGGAACACCCAAAGTATACTTAAAGTATACTTGAAAGGTACTGAAAATTTTGCAGTGCACTTTAGGTATACTTCACGAGTAAAACCACTGGTGGCAAACTGACAAGTACAGTATACTTAAAGTATATTTTAAGTATACTTTAAGTATATTAAAGATTTTCAAATATTCAAGATATTATAAAATTAATGAATCATGGCATGCATATATATATACATACAGCCAGGTAAATTAATATGCACTAACAGCCATGCAACCATTAGTTCATATGGCATGCATTCAGCTTTATTATATGCTTGGCCAAGTCAGATAAGCATTCAAACTAAAGTATGAAATTCATGTCTTTAATTCGTTTGGTACAACTTACCACGACAAATAACCTAAAATTTGTACAATAAATGACTGCTTCTAAATCATCTTTTGATACAAAAAAATATGTATGTTTTACAGTGAAATCCATCATTGGATTATTTTATGAACTATAACAATAAATTCCATGCAAATTAGAACTGACTCTCACAATGTTGAGATACTTAACTAAAACTATTCATTGTTTTAAAACAAAGAGTATCTATAAAATGGACCTCATCATTCAGTAATGTACAACAGAAAACAAATTTCATGAAAATCAGCAATGTCTGTTACAATGACTCTAGTTGGGCCAATAAAAAAATGTTTGTCATAAAATGTAATAGTCATAAAAAATTGACTCCATTATTTAATAATTAGAGAAGTAAGCAAGCCTCGTGCAAATCATACCAGAAAATAGTTTATCTACCGAGTATCCAATCATATCATATTAATTAATCTTAACTTAATCAATTAAATTGTTTACTTTCCTGGCAGGTTGCCAACCACTTGCCCTTGTTGTTAGAGAACTAAGTTTATTTCTTAGGGCTTGCTTAATTGTAGAGGCCTTCTCCCCTTGATTTACCACGAAATCTGCAAAGAGGAACAAACACAGGAGCTTAACTTTCTAGACTTATGCATGACAACAAGGTTATGTTACTTTGGAAAGACTTGTACCACAATCAATAATCTAAGATCACTTAGATCAAAGGAACTTCTGAATACTTGCTTTGAGTTGTTTTCCTCACTTTTTTATATTGGATTATCCCAAAGTTTTTTTACTTGGCTGATCCCCAGGAAAGTCATGTTGTTCAACATGTACAAGTGTACAGATTTCTAACAGTAATAAAATTTCAAAAACACCAAATGCAATGTACTTACCCAAAATGGAGGAAACAATGTCAGCATTTAGGCCCTTTCTGGCATTTCCCCCGGTCAAGTTCTTGCCCACTAAGTCAGAATTTTTATATAGACAGCTGAGCAGGAAACATGCTGCTGAAGTTGGGCTGTTTTTACTCTTTGCTGTGTTTATTTGATCCTCATCTAAGTAGACACCTCTACCTTTTGACAACTCAACCACCTAAAAAGGAAACGAAATACAAATTTAACAATAAGGTTTTCATAACAATCATGTCCTTTACACTTCTGTCATATTTTTAATGTTAAATTGAGGGAAGGCTATAGTAAACATTTGAATTTTTGAAAGTGCATGAACACTAAGGCAGCTCAAGCAGTTTCAATTGATTCCCTGTGCAGAAGTTTTCAGGTCATCCCAGCTCCTACATTAACCATGTAAGAAATTATTTAAAACTCTAAACAAACTCAGTCTACATTACATTTGATGGTCAGATATGCATCTTAAGCTCAAATTATAAAAAAATATATATATAAATTTGATAACTTAAGCTTTACAGTCTAATTGCCAGGTATTGAGCCTTAAAGCATTTACCTTAAAGCATTTGCCACAATCTCAGAGACTTTCCCAGGTCTGGGGAGCTCTTCATAACAACCATTCACTACAACAGATAAATGGATTACGTTAATATAGCTTTAATTACATAGTTAGCATAGGAAGATTAAATATAGCAATCCATCAGTGGGTCAATCTGTTTGCCTGTCACCAGCATTTTAATTCATAACTATGTAAATGTGGAAAAATACTCTTCCTTCAAAATAATATTCATATCTTAATAAAAGCATCACTATTTGAGACACAAGATGCATCATTAAAATACAACTGCAAGTGTTGTAACCTTATTTAAGTGCTTTAAAATGGTTTATTCCCTAGTTTCAGAGTTATTGTAAAATTATGTAAGTAAGGCAGACTATGATCAACTGGTATCCATCTTTCCCCCCACAATTAGTCTATCCAGTAAGAAGCAAAAGGAAACGCAGACAGGAAAATGCCCTACATTCTCTATCTTATCATTAAATATATGAGTGCTAGTCATGTAAAAAGCGATATAATTACCTTGAGCCTTGATTTCAGCAATTTCTTGATCTTGTGTAGCTATAATTTCCTTGTACTCCTCACATTTTTGGCAGCTGTGGTGGAACATGGACCTTGGCTTTTTTCCACCCATGTTTGGTCTTGGAGGAAGTTGTGATTGACTCTGAGTGAAATCCCTGGGTCTTTTTCCACCAACTGTTGCTCTTGGGGTTTGTAAAGCTGGTTTGGCAGATTTGGGAGGGGGAGGAGGAGAGAGAGGGGATTGATTTAAGGCTGATATGTGAGGGTTGGGAGGGGGACGAAGGTAAGATAAACATTCAGATATAATATCTCTTCCACCAAAATATTAATCATCATCCATGGGTTCAGCCCTGCCAACATCATACTCCTCTTCATCAGATAAATTGATACATGGCTGCTTGCTTTCGAAATTTAGATTTCTTGCTAAA